CTCTGAAATTGAGCGTTAATCTAGCCAAGATATTGTATGATTTTCATCTCTGCTAAATATATATTAGAGTCTGTAAAACTAATTCGTTGTCAAAAGCGGTTTGGGCATCAAGTCACATTCATGTCACCCGAAATGTAAATATTTACAATATCACTTTCGTTAAGTCTAACGTGAAACTTATAAGGATCATCAAATTGTACGTAAACATTCACAAATAAGGTAGATAACTCATGAGTAGTAACTTAAAAACTAGTTCGTTTAGCATCGTCGTCGAAAATAAATTGCCTCCCTTTATGTTGTTCTTCTGGCTCGATACGACCATCTTATTAAATAGCATGTCATTAAATAAAAGAAACTACTCGCATGCCGGAGAAGTCTTTATGCAAATAATTAGGTGATCGACATCTGTTTTAAAGAACTCGTGTTCCTGACCCAAGTCCAAAAATGTCCCACTCCTCTAGAAGACCAGATTTTAATTCAGCAAATGCTTCGTGTCAATCGTAGCTATATCATGTTACAAAGCATAGCTTTGTTCGTCCCTGTAAGACCTAGGCATGTTAAATTTGCACCATCAGAGTAGTTAGTATGGATGTTTGTCATAACATGGTAATACGAGAAACAATAAAACAAACATGATTTTTAAAATAACAAGTCAGCATGAGCTCTAATTGGATTTTATCCGAAATGATAAAGGAAAATAAATACAATAGTTCAACACGACTTGCAAGACGTACAAACGAGCGTAATACATCAATACTATTTGATAAATCACATAGCACTTAACATGGAATATAAACAATCAAAGCATTAAAAAAAATTAATTAAAAATTAGCTCTTTTAGGATTTGGGACAATCCATATATTTTAAAATGCTAACGTGGTTGGAAGTGAAATATTATTAATAGTTATTATATATTAGCATGAAAAAACCATTTGGAGTTTGTTCCCTTTGGGTCCATGTCAACCATCTTCGCTTCTAACCTAATGACATTTTCTGTGACCGTTGGCTGTCGCTAACTATTAAATGTGCACACACACACACACACACACACACACACACACACACACACACACACACACACACACACACACACACGCACTATACTACATTATTATTGTATGAAAAATCCTGCAGAGTATTTTTTCACGCGTCTACGGTAGTGATTAAACACACGCTGCTTATCCGATCCAGGCAAATGAAGGTATGTGCTGGTTATCAGACAATGTGTTTTTGATAAATACTTGGGCATTTTATTTGACTTTATCTTCCTGTAAATCCGCGCTTGTTTCTTATTCACGCTTGTGACTGTCTCTGACTTTACATTTGCGCTAGAATAATCTCAAACTCAGCCGCACTTATTTTATCTTTGATTGCTACCAAGCAAAATCTGCAGATAGTATTGAGACTGCTTTTTGTCGTCGTAAGCAATTCTGATTAGGCGCATACTCATAAATGCAGTCATATTAAAAATTAATTTGCTTTAACGAACAGAAACACCAGATACTACTGATATTGTAACAAAAAAACAGTTTATGATTTTCAGATTAATAACAATACATCATAAATGGGAATGCAATACAATATATTTAATGGTACATGCAAATATCAAATGGAGTGTGATAGATAAGTGCGTGCATGGGTTCCAATATGGGACTAATTAACATAATCAGCACGATCTTAATGCAACAAATACGATACCAAGACAAAGAAAGAACGATTCACGGTATATCATAAAACAGAAATATGACCTTCACAATAGTAAAATACAAATGATATTTCGTTCAAAATAACGAGTTGATAGTTTTATTCATAATAGCAAAACAAATGATAGTTCGTTCAAAATAACGAATTGATAAGTTTTACTTATAATAGCAAAACACTGAGTATTAAAAAAAAAACTACATTAGCCCTCGGCTAAAATCTGGAGCAATGTATATATTGTCTTAACTGTTTGCTACCATTTCCACTGGCCAAACAAGCAAAGATCATTTTTGGTTTACTGACCACCATTGATTCCTGGGTTAGGCAATTAGCGCCCGCCACTTTGGTCTGCAACGCCCGATTACCAGTGTATCAACCAGGAGTGTAAAACTGAGGGTCAAAAAAACCCTTTGGTGTCAGAACTGGGGGTCAAATAAAAAGTGTGGGGGTCAACAATGTACCGACAAATTTTCATCTAATCCATACTTTTTCAGCTGGAATAGGATTTTGCAATTTGCACAATATTCTCTCTCTCTCTCTCTCTCTCTCTCTCTCTCTCTCTCTCTCTCTCTCTCTCTCTCTCTCTCTCTCTCTCTCTCTCTCTCTCTCTCTCTCAAATACAAAATAAAAAAATAGGCACAATTAACACAAATGCATTATCCAATTATCCATTCAAAGGATACTTTTATTAGTTAATTTTCCTTTTAGTTTAAAGTCGTACTTTTAACAGTCTCTTTATAATTTTTCATAGCATTATTATAGACCAACACATTACATATAAGCCATTTCAAAACTCCATATAAATCTTTTTAACAAAACGACAGTTTAATTTACTGCCTGTCATAAAACGTGTATTATCATCAGTTTCATTGTACTTCATCCTAAAAACACATTTATCCAAAAATCAGAGGCTAATGGTTCATCTTCTCTTTAACAAGTTGCGCTTGAACTTTTAGATCTTTCTTTCGTTGCAGCAAAGTTAGAACAATCTGCAAAGACCCCCTGAATTTGTAATCCAAATAATGAATTTGTTTCTGCAGGTTTATTTCTTTGTTCTGAAAGAATGTTTTAGGTAATATGTTCAAAAGATATCTTGTGGTGATCAAGGGCAGCCTTTTAAAAATTCTCAAACGATGTCACGAAAGGATTATTCACTTGTGTAGCCTTCGCAATCACGATGTCACACCGGTAATCCCAATGCCTTGGATCTGCCGTATTCTGGTCAAGGGCATATTTTCTCCGTTTTTCATTAGAGTCAGATCGACATTTACTCTTTAGTGTTCTGCTTATTTCACTTTCTTCACTAATGATTCTTAGTGCATGTCATTTCCATCACGAGATCACATTTTAGTGCAACAAGAATTGAGGTTTGAGATGTTTCTGGACATTTTGCTAAACTGGATAGAATCGCGTGAGAGCTCGCAAGACCAGGCGAAGCTACTCTGTCATAATATTGCCTAATGGTAGTCTGGTTCTCTGCTTTGTTTGCTCAATATTGTAGTGTGCAACACACAGAGCATAGAAAACAGGAAACCGGAAGAAGTATTCACGATGCTATCCATAATGATGTATAATCGTAGTATACATGATGCCATCTCCAATACAACGCATTGAATATTAAATAAATCCTGATTATATTTTGCAAATCCTATACGTCAAAAGAAAGCACAGCAAAAATTTATGTGCGTCAATTTTCCATAGTGTGCGTCCCTGACGCACAACTGTGCGTAAAGGGAAACACTGCCGATTACCCTCAACCCGACTAGCAACCTTGAAATATTCGAAACACTCGAAAACATATGCACAGCACGGCTCAGCACTGCACAAGCAGCATACGCAGGTCTACACAGCACACGCAGCTCTTCACAGCTGTACACACAACACAGCTCAGCATTGCAAACGCAGCATATGCACAGCTCTACAGAAGAGCTCTACAGCACAGCACTGCACCGACAAAGCACTACAACACCAATACACAGCAGTGCAAAAATAACACAGCTCTACAGCCGGAGATATCTGGGTCTTAAAATAGACCTCCGATCGACAAAACGGTTCGTAATGTAAGAATTTGGTTGTAATCGTAAAGCATTTATACACAGGAAATGTATCTCAGCATCGTCTGTGTAATTTATGTATTCGGTTTTTCCCGTCTAATGCACTCCGCACGTGCAGCGCAAGATAAAACCGAACTCACTGTTTCGAAATATTATATAATATACCTTGATCACCCTCGGGTATCGTTATAAACGGAAAACGAAATCCGAGGACATTTATTTAATAAAGGAATAAATTCATACAATTCCGTGACAGATATAGCCCCGACAATAATACCCACTGGTGTACCTACAATGGTTGATGTTGTCGTGATTCCAATCACGTCACGACAAACAGTTGTTGGCGCTATAAGCCTCCCCCTCCCCATTGCATCTACGACCGAACGATCAGCGTAGTTTACTTGGCGATTTTCTTCCCAGCTGTTGTTACGCTTCCAATTTTTTTTTCAAACCGCTAACACTGAAGGTCCATCATACTTCTTTTATTAATCGCTTTTTTTAATTGGACGACAGACAGGCTTGTCCGGTCTCATCATTACGCGCAGGCGCAATACGCAAAAACACTACTAACCATTTATTCTTTTTTACTGACACAACTGGATGTAGTCATAAAAAACCTCTTCCTCCGAAATACTTAAATCTCCTGAAAATGTGCGTTATGGTGGTCTTTCAAATAGGCACGGATTACGCCAGAGAAAGAAACTGATTACGGTAGAATCCTTTGCATCTAACGATCGTCGTTGCCCCAAAAGGGTTTCCCGAACCAGTGAGTGATTGCTGAATGATAAAGATCTTCCTTTTCTTAACTGCGTCGATGTTGGTTAAAATGTTCGATGATAAATCTAATTGGGGTGAATACATCGGTGAATTCTAGCTCACCATTGCAGAAATAATCCCAGGGTGATTTTTCATCTGAATGTGAAGTCAGTCTTAGCGCTTGCATTTGCAATGATCTCAAGCTAGCCTCGAGATGGCATTGGTACATCATGGTGGTGGTGGTTGTGTGTGTGTGTGGCTGTGTGTGTGTGTGTGACTTTTAACGTAGCTTTAACAACTTTTCAGTAATATCGCTACGATGTTTATAGTAATACCTAGAGCTGGGGCATCACGTCGCAGACATGTAGCATGATGTCCCACCCAGTCACATTATCCTGACACCAGGCAGACCAGTACTAACACTAACCTCTAAATGCTGAGTGCCTAGCGAGGTAACTGATAGTATTATTTTTAATAAGTCTTTGGTATGACTCGGCTGGGGTTAGAACCCGCGACCTTCCGCATCCAAGGCTGACGTTCTAACCACTAGACTACAGGAGTGGTACATCCGGATGGTCCAAACAGTCAAATTATTTTAGCGCTTCACATCATTATATTTCATTGTATACGAGTGTATATATACCCTCGTATACAATGAAATATAATAATGTGAAGTGTGCTATATATTACCACAAACATATATTCTTCAACAAGTGGAACAATGTTATTATTATAATTAAATTTAGCATCAGCCGTTAGCTGATAAAATGGCAAAATCTATTCCTAAACACAAATTCCAAAGTTTGCTAAGTAGACATTTGGATAAATGCGGATTGTCTCAAAATAAAATTCATCCTTAGCTGCAGACGATATCACTGTCGAACAAGTGAAAGAGATTGGAAAACCTGTGTCGGGTTCGTCACGAATTATTATTCGTTCACCAGGCCTATCATTTATCTATGTAATTACTGGACCGCATCCATGATAATGACCGGATATAATAAACAAAAACGATCCAGACTCATGTGCCTTTAAGATCACATCTTGACTTTTATCAAAACCATATATATCATTAACATGCGCAGCAGTAACTTTACCAGCTGCTGGTCTAACGTTTTCTCCTCTAGTAATTATTAATTCTCAGTCTTTGTTTACCAATCCATAACTTATAAATATTACTATTAATCGCAGTGATGCGAATACTTTAGCGATCTGCTGATCACCATAGTCTTTGAAAGACGTCACCGACACGCCGCTGTCTTTGATTCCGCACATTGTTTGTGAACTCGGCCAGATTCTTTACCGCAATGTCACCATTGACCTTGATAGTAATATCCTGAATGTCCACATTACAAGTTTGATCTTCAAAGTCACAAGCTCGCCTGGATTGACACCGGCAAACGACGAATCTGCTTGGGTGGCAAATTGACTCATATGCACATCAGCAATATGTTGTCGAGTTGAGTAACGCCGTAAATATAAATGGCTATTTTTTAACAATATCACACGTTCTTTAACGTATCATCAGTAAGTGTGTGTGTGTGTGTGTGTGTGTGTGTGTGTGTGTGTGTGTGTGTGTGTGTGTGTGTGTGTGTGGTGTCGGCGAACTCTCCAGTGCACGCAAAGGTTCAGTAACAAGATTACCGCGTATGAGACCATCAACTGTGTTTGTCAAATAAGACAACGAATTTTTTTAAATTACCATATTTGGATAAATAATTAACAACTTCAGCTGGCGGTGCAAGTCCATACAAGTCAAAATACAAATTATGTTGAGGTATTACCACGTGTACGACCAAGGGCCTGTTGATCAATCCAGATTAATGATGCCAGTTTCATGTGTGCATGGCACCATCAAAGCAAGTTAATCTTGCATAAAAACACCGCGAAAATATTTGATCGATTTTGCCATCTCAAATAAATTAAGATTGGTCAACGGACGGGGCACTGGCATAATCTTCTGCAATGAATGAAATCTGCTCGAAGATATTTGATGACTCGTGCCTGACTATCGAAGTCCTCTTTCTTTTTTACGGCCCACAAGTGCCTTTTCTAAAACCATTCATGGTGCAGTTCAGACAGCCCCTAATGCTACGGCTATCGCTGCTAATTAAAAAACAAAATGCTGGAATCGCTGAAAGGAATGAAGTATCACACCGGTGCTTTGCAATTGTGTCTTCTCTGACTTGGATACTCGTGCATGAAAATACATGTCAACGACATACTGTCTCAGCAAGTGTTCCAGTGAAAAGTAATAAATCGGGTACAATGTACAAAAGTCTTGATGAGAGATTTGCAAAACCGTGCCAACAGTTTGATATTAGTCCATATATGATACCAAATTATGATATGCACGTGTAATATGAGAAGTGTGTTCTGCATAATCAAGCCAAAATTCTTCAGAAGGTTCCTGAAGACCGTTTAGCCGCCAAGACACTTCGGCCATTTATATTAAGTTGTCAAATATCATTTCACTATTTGTATGGTCATTATCTCACGCTGTAAGTTGAAATGGTAAAAGCACATGTTTTGGTGCAGTGAGGTCGTGCTTTGGTACTTATATGCCAAGGAAACTTTCCTACAATGGCAATTGGTTAGTGTGCGTCTGTGATATGTGCGATAAACGGCAACTTTGACGTGGTTCCTGACTGCATAAATGATAACAAACGTGATTCTATACTCTGTAAATGGGACTACACATGCATCCACAATGCTAAATTTTCTAATACAGTTTTACAATCAGCAGCTGTTGCATCACTCCAAATCGCATGGTTGGAGTTGATTTTAACGAATAAAGGTGTTGAATTCCAAACGTCACTTTGCGAATATCTCTGCAAAACCCAAAAGATGTGACTGAAAGGAATTGCGCCCAAAAGCCTTAGTGGCTCACCATTAATTTGTGATCGATGGTGTACAATCCAACGTTAAAATTAAGATCGCCAGCAAACTTTCAAATTCGTCTAATTATATTCGATCAATGATCTCCATGATCAGTTGCATCTTTGATATATATCATTGTTGGGCTAGCTGTTCCCGTGTGGTCATCGCTGTATCTGGCAAGTCCAAAATAGTTGTGGCTCCATCAACATTGTCCAGAATGGATTGGATTTCCTTTTCATCGATGAAATAACGTACACTGTTCAGCAACGTCATGACAACGTTGTTAACAAATCCATCTTGGGTATTTGCATTGTAATTGACATTGTTATCGGGCACGAGTTTCCCCATAACTTCCAAAACTGATTCCCATGCAAGGAAAAAACGTAGACGTATCTGGCACTTACAGTTCTATTTTTAAATGATTGGGATACACGGCTGGATATCAGTAATACTGATAATTTATATTTCTTCGATCCACTGAAACAGGTGCTATGATGTTTAATCTGGATCAGAAATATCTTTGAAGTAGGTCATTATACAAATACTTTACATTATTGATTTTTTTAAAATAACACCTACCGTGCAAATCCACTCCCCAGTGCCATATTTTCAAATGAATCTGAAATTCGCTGTCGGGCGAACTCGTTAATGATTTTACTAACTTTAGGCTGTATTGATTATGTTGATGGTAGCGTAGTTGGAACTACATTTGATGGTGCTCGTGTTACTAATCTGTCTAGAAGGGACTGCGATGCTTGTGATTCCAGTTGATCTAATCCATCCAAAAAGACATTGGTCACGAATTCACAAAACAGGGTTTTGCTCTTTACCGACTTTATTCTTAAGTGAAATCTTCTTCACAAATCCAGCATTAGTTATAATAATGTACTTCAGGTGATTAGAGCTACTGCCCAGTCTCTTTTGTCGTAAATTCGATCGGTTTAGATATAACATCAGCTGTGTCGGAAGTATACTGGGCACGAAAATTGACTGGCTTCTCTTGTTTGTTTTTTCATCACATCAAATCACCACATAACAGAACCTGCGTGTGATTGGTTCAGAGACTTGTACAGTTCAATCGATATCAGATGCATTTGCGTCTTTACTGTCAGAGCTGGACGCATTGTCGTCTGCCACTGAAACATTTAAATTCAGTAGTAAATTGAGTAGTTGCTGAGTCTTAAATACATACATGCAACGTCTGCAAGGAAAGATTTTATGTGCATGCTTGTTGTGTCAGTTAAATAACCGAGCAAGTTTCTTTATCTATACATAGTGCATATCGATTCTGATTCTTTCATTTTACCAAGTCTGGTTCGTCAATGGGTAGATAGTGCCAGAAGATAAAGCTTTTGTCATAAGCAAACACATTAAAAGCGATATCTGGATTAAGCGTGTCAAATTTATTCGGTGTTGCGTTGGTAACCTGCACGGGAAATTCAATATCATCAATGTTAAGTTCATCCAGGTGTTTCTGGTATTTTCGATGCATGTCTTTATTGTCTTTATTATCACTATCTGAATTGAATGATGCCATTCAAAACAACGATTGCCAACGTTTGTACGTTTATCACTCACCTTGGAGGAATCAACGCTGGTATTTGTATGTAAATTGATCAACAAAACAGTTGATACGATGAGAGATGGACCCTCACTTTCGTACAGTTTTCGAGACTCCATCCCGATCCTGCATTAATGTATTTTTCCAGTGTTTCGATAATTGTTTCAATACCTCTGCCAATTTTATCGCTTCTTTCTTTGCAGTTCAGGATTACGCTGGCACCACTTTGAATCCATGGTGTACTAGTTTTAAATTCATCCTTGTCATGACTAAGTGTTGTAAACAGATGCACACTAAGGGCAATATCTGATATAACGCCAATAATAACCAAAGTTCGAACCTTTCTATCTGGTTTGTATGTGGATGGGATAACTTCCAAGTGTTTTTCCACGTCTGTGCGCTGGAAGAATTCGATTTTTTTATTGAGAGCGTTTCGCACGCACGGCAACAAATGAACCGAACTCCTGTTTCGAAATATTGTACAAAATACATAAATCATCCTCATGTCTTGTTGTACACACAAAAACGAAACCAAATGGCTCTATACAATTCCGCTACAATCTGTTTTAGCTTCGGCACAGTAGGCATGTTTATGCTAAGTGGAGGATGTTAACTCTTTCTAACTAGAAAATAGTGTCAATGGTTTGTTTTATTTTTTTGTATTTTATCAGGATCATAAACTGCTATCGCTTCTATCCGAGGCATAATTTTGTTTATGTCTGTTTTATTGTTTTGGTTTACTTGTTTGTGCTTTGGCAGCCACAGGTGTTTGCTGTTTTGATATTTTTCTGCGTGTTTTATAGTACTCAATAACAGAACCATCAGACTGGTAAAAATGATTACGTGCTTTGACTCCGATGCCACATTTATGGCAAGGCCGTGCTCCTAGGCCATCACAAAATATTTGCATATGTTTTGCAGTACTCATACTGGCATGTTCTGTCAGAGTTCTTATTTTCCATGGCAGATAACTTTGCATTTAGATGTGTCACAATGCATTGGAACTTCCTATAAGAATGCGCGAGTATTTTATCTTACTGGCAGAAACATTGCCACATTTCAGTTGATCCGTCGCCAGTATTTTATTTTTTTTTTCTTGGCATCAAGGGATACATGAATT